AACTGAACACACAGCATCCACTCCACAAACATCCTGTATTCACACACTACATCCACCACAAATTGAAACACTCTGCATTCGCTATACACAGACACTGCGTCTAATACACACACTACATCCACTACAGACACTGCATCCACTAAACACATTTCATCTAGTACACACAAACACTACATCCACTACACAAACACACACTACATAACTGTACACACACTACATCCACTACTCAAACACACTCTGTGTTCACTATACACACTGCATCCGCTACACAAACCCACACTCTGCATTCACTGCACAAACAGTATCTAATACACACAAACACTACATCCATTACACACATTCTAATTCACTTCCACTATACACACCACATTCAGTCCTACATAATTGTCAGTGGACTAGGTAGGGCGTGGGTGGGCCAGGGGGGGGGGGGAGGAAGGGACCTTGTGCTTTGTCAGGGGCCCCAAAATTTCTGATGGCGGCCCTGCCCTGGCCCATGGGGAGTTCAGCCTCTCTCCCCATGGAAGCCTCAGGACACGGCGCCTCACCAAGGGGCGACCCCCTGGAGGATTCTCCCCTTAACGACCGGGGAGCTATGCTGCAGTAACCCTATAGGTAGCAGCTGGATGTGCCAGACCCAGGGAGGTGGTAATTCCCACAGAAGGGCTTTCCCAATAAAGATGGCCTGTCCTATCCTCAGGATGTAAGTGGCAGTGGATTAAGAACTTACCTGACCGGGGGTGGGCTCCTGTTTCCTTGTGGCTGATCCATTCCGGTCGTGGAACGCACGCCGATATTGCTAGCACTTCCGGTTCGTCACTTCCGGTTTTACGACCTATCTTTTCCCTCTCTCCAGCAGTGGAACACACGCCAGAGGAAGGCCAGCAGCAGGGGGATTTACTTCCTTGTACGGCATCCTATTTAAAGGGTAAGCACCTCTATTCTGTCAGTATGAGCCCTGGAGGGGGCCCTGAGGGTGAGGTATACCCAAGGACCCTATAGAGCCAGGAAAATTAGCATGTTTTCCTGGCACTATAGTGGTCCTTTAAGAAGGCAAAGGCTGCTAAATATTGAAGATTATACTAGCTTTAGTGTAACTATAATTAAAATTTTATTAATGACAGGAGGCAAATATTTGCTTAATTCTCTCTTTACTAGAACTCCACAGCAGCACATTAACATAGAGAGAAAAACACCAAAGACAAACAAGTAAGGAATGCATAAAAGGCTCCTCCCAACCAACTACTTCCTCTTTCATGCTGCGACACAATAAAGTACATGAACAATACACCACTAATAAAAATAACAGAAGAAAAAAACATAACACAACGATGAATGCCATCCGAAATTGAAAAATGTGGAATCAGTGGATGGAATCTTGACCTTATCCTGAAGAAAACTTGGATCTAAGAACTATAGTCGAACCATTAAACTGAACTGAGATAAACAGAGTCGAAAACACTGATTAGTGAATGAAATGTACTGAGAAAACATGAATCCCCATCATCAAATACTGACAGTACAATAACCCAGATAAACACCCAACTCCCCTAGGAACACTACCAGACCTATCAACCCTAGCCCAGGAGACCGGGCGAAAAAAACCAGTAGGTCAGTCAAAACTAACAAACAAACAAGGTGAGGGAGAAACTGGGAGGGAAATATTCGCCTCCTGTCATTAATAAAATGAAGATTATAGTTACACTAAAGCTAGTATAATCTACAATTTTATAACACGACAGGAGGCTTCATATTTGATGTTTTAACGCTCTGACAGGAAAGCAAAGAAACACTATCCCTTGGTCTAACTAAAATAGGCAAACCGTACCTACTAGGAAAACCCGAAAATGTTCTGAAAACCGAATATAGTCGCGTCAATGCTAACCCCAAATCCATTGCACCGAGGAAGGAGACAAGACCGGATATCTCTGACATAAGACATCAACAACTGACCGGAATGAGAAAGGTGAAGAGGGGAAGGATCGCTACCTACGAGACAGCGTAGTCGCCACGCAGAGTCTAGGCTGGTCGTGGAAATACGGGTAGGATATAGCTGTCGAATCCGACCAGTACGTATAGACATCCCGAAAGGAGAACCTTTCCGGAGAGAAAGAAACGCGTCAACATCTAAGGCCCAGACGCCCGACACACGTCTGAAAGAAATAAAACATAGCAAGAGGGCAAACCCAACGTCGACAAAGGGAAGGTCCCGAGAATCCGGGCAAACCTGGAAGAACGACTAAAGAAAAGAACACCTAGGCCCCAGAGGCCGCGACAATCACATACCTCTGAGACACCCACCAACCAGCGGGTCCTGACCAAAGGACAACCTCTAATAGGTACGTCCGGTACGGTAAATCTAGCTACTGAAACCCAATGATACAAGTGTCCCAGGACAAAAAGGAGCGACCAAAAAAAAACCAGAAACGCTGGTAACAGGGCCCGTAAAGGAAACTGTATCCCGTACCGGGGACAAATATACCCGGGCCCCCATGGCAACAAATAGCATCGCTTCGGCCTGGGAGTCCAGGCTGATCGCGATAACACCTCAACACTCCAGTCTACCCTAAAGGGTCCAGGCCACTACTCGGAGGCAACGCCTCATCTCCCTAAGGCGAACACGCGTGGGGAAGGGTGTCCATCGCTGAACAATCCTGGTCCATGAATCCTCCAAAACAGATCGTGACCTGCTAGTCCATCCGTGAGGCGAAGAAGTGCACCGGGGCGGACACCTCCCGTCTGCAATCCCGAGTATAGTGGGACGAGGGGTCCTTCAATCGCTGGTGTCCCTCCAATGTCAGGAGCACCAACCCGTCGACAGGTCCAACCCTCGAGAGAAACCGGGAGAGGACCCCTCCCAGGCGACTGAAGCCTTGTACTGCCGAAGCATTGTCCATCCGGAGGGGAACGCAGTAAATGATTCGCCAACTCCTAATTACGAACTAACCCGCAAGCAGTTCCCGGTCGTTCATGGGGAACTCCGACCCCATCACCAACCATGGATCGTCAGGATTGATGCAGAGGGGAGGTCCACCACTCATAGGTCTACGGGACGACAGGTGAATTGGTTGGGTCTGTCCTACCAAGGGAATTGGCAAAAACTTTTGGCACTCATTGTCCGCCGGGACAGAGAGGCATGCGTCCAACCAATCCAGTTCCGTGAACCCTCCTGAAGTGATGGTATACCACAACGGCATTTAAGATTCTCCGGTAAAACACAGAGTGGGAAAAAAAAACAGACCTTGTTCCTACCATAAAATTGGGGAGAAGCACAGAGCTCAGTCTTGTAAGGAAAAAAATAGGTCTAGGACAGCATCCTCTGAGCAAGTCTTGGTCGCCGGTACGAGCATCCTGCATAGAGGGCCCGACACGACCCACAGTCCGTCCTGCGCCAGACTGTCATGAGGCCCCAACCTGTGTGCGTCATGTACTTGGCAACCAGGTTCCGAGCTCCAGGGGCATGGTTAACAAAAAAGGAAAAGAATTCAGCGCTAATTAACACACAATTAATAGAGGTAGGCAGCAACCCAAATGAAGGAGAACCCCTCAAGTCCTTCAGTGGATAAACAAAGATAGCAAAAAGATAAAGTAGGGGTGTGCCAAGCTAAAAGAGATAGTCCAGTAAAATCTCACTAGGATAGGCAAACCATGAGATACTTGATAGGGTATGGTTTCTTGGTAGAGGTAGGTATGTCTGATGTTGACCGATCAGTATATGAAAACAGAAGAGAGGTAGAGGCAACCAATGATGCAGTATGTCTAAAATTCAAGGTGCAGTAGATAATATAAGTAGAGAACTCACATTTGGGAGAGCTATGGCCAGCTCTGGTGTGACTAGCGTACAGCGGTATAATCCCCGCTTATGGGATATGTAGGGAAGCGGTCTCCGTCAGCACCGTCTGGTAATCCAAAACTCGGAAAAAAGATAAAAAGCAACAATAGTGCTCTCAATTGTGATAGAGTTCAATGTGCAATAGGCAGAGAAAGGTAGAGAACTAACATTTGAGAGAGCTATGGCCAGCTCTGGTGTGGATAGCGTACAGCGGTATAATCACTGCTTATAGGATATGCAGCAGAAGTGTGTCTGTCAACACCGTCTGGTAGTCCAAAGCTCCAAGAGAGAAAAGTAAAAAGCAACAATAGTGCTCTCAATTGTGATGGAGTAAGAAAGTAAAATAGGAGATAAAATAATACTCACAAAGATAGAGCAGAGATACTGCTCAATGGATAAGCATTGGTGGTATGATCCCCACCTAGGATTTCTTGGAGTACTGGAACAGTAAAAATGCCAGTGGGAGTAAAAGTAACAGTAACGATAAAATGCCAGGAATTAGTAAAAAAAAAGTTAAAAGTGCATAGAGAGTGCAAAAAAAAGAGGATTGGTACAATACAGTATGGTTATCTTGTCCGGGCGCACCGGTCTGGCATCCTACCTAAAGTTTCCCGCAGACTCCTCGCTCTAGCGTCCTGCCGAACCAGCGGCACACGCAACGTGCTAGGTGTTCGGGTAGAGACCATTCTGAATACCCAGTTGTCGAATCCAGCCAAGCTCGTACCGGGGTTCGTCGGAGGCGACCAGGCACGAATGTGTCCTCCGTCTCACAGCGCCTCGAGGACGATGTCAATATCTCCGCTTTAGTCGCCCCCTCCATCCTGAGCCTGCCATTCAGCTAGGGCTGCCATGAGTGGGAGGGGTACAGAGACCTCCTTCCCTGCACCATATAGATGGCGGCATCTGGCCAGTGAGGCCTACAGCATCGGGCCCAGATGCTTTGCTGGAGCCTTACCCGGGAGCGTGGTACAGGGCCTTCACCCTTCCAGTAACTCCTCTGTGCACTTGCCCGCTCACATTTAGGAGAGTCTGACTCCGCCGAGTCGTTTGCTGTTTGATGGGGTCCTTCTAGTGCCCTCAACCTATAAGGGCATGAGGGGACACCTGGCCTTTTTCCTCCGGAGGCGGCCATCGCCGCACGAGTCCTCGTCCGCAACTAGTATTCCTGGGAGAGGAAGGGGAAGGTAATGTTTTGTCCAACTACAGTAGTATATGGAAACTAAAGTAGGCGTAGACTCCGGCGGTCCCACGTGTTGGATCCCACCGGCCATACCTGACCTGAGCATGACATTATGTCACACATTACTTTATGAAACAGGGACCTACCTGAGTTATTGGAAGACTATATTATATATGATGGACGTTGATAATTTGTTTTAGGGAGAGAGTAAAGACCAAAACAAGAACTATGCGTTCTTCTGTTTCTCAGGCTCCTTGTATGACTCCATCTGCTCCTGCAGTTGCTACCGAGCCCATGCAACTAGGAATGATGAAGCTATCAGAAGCTGAGAAACTTTATCGTAGGACTGAGGGAATATGTTTATATTGCAGAAAGAAAGGACATTTACGCCTAAACTGCCCTATACATCCAGAAATCCTCTGTTAGAGGACTTGCCTTTGGTCTAATGAAAATGTCCTCTATCATGCCTTGCAACAGATTGCTTCTCTCGGTTATTATATCTTGGGGTACTCTTGACATTCCTTGTAAAGCTCTGGTCGATTCAGGAGCAGCTGAGAATGTCATAGATAAGAAATTTGTTAGTGACCTTCTTATCCCTCTGAGGGAGAGATCAACACCTTTAGGCCGTTGAGGCCATAGATGGTAGACCTCTCCAGATACCCATTATAACCAATTAGATTATTTCTTTGTCTATAGGGATTTTACATAGAGAGGAAGTAACTCTCAAACCATTTCTACCCCTTCATGCCCTATCATTCTTGGGTTTCCCTGGTTGGTACAGCATATTCCGGTATTGGGGTACTAGCTGTAAAGATAAATGTCTCCTCTCTATCAAACCTATAGGTCGTAATAACGTTCCTACAACCGAACCATTATCCACAGTCGTTCCCCCTCAAATATATCGAAGTCAAAAAGGTATTTAATAATATCTTACATGTAAAGGAGCTGATACAAATCTCACACGTAAAGGAGCTGATACACAGGCTTAGCCCACTCAGGGCCGTCTTTAATATCGATTGGACCCTGGGCAAGCATTTGCTTGGGCCCCCTGTACCCGGCCCACCCCCCAATCCCAACCCCCAGCTCCCTGGCATGCAATCACGGCCTCCACCCCAACCTACTGATGATGGGTAGTGGTGCAAGAATTTCTTTTGGGTCTCCCCTATAGCGCAAGAGTGGAGAAAAGGTAGATACCCATCTGTTGTACAACTTCCACAATGCTATGCCAGCTGGGCCATTCTTGTAGGGGTGTATTTGTATGTACTGTTACCATTGGAAGGCAGCGGTGTACTTGTGTGTAGTGTTTGCATTTGAATGCAGGGGTGTGTGCTTGTGTGGCAAATCTAGCCACTTACTGAGTGTAACGATATATTTTATGCTATTGCCCGTATTGTTTGTTTCCCCGAATAAAAGATCAATGTATGAAGTATTCGTGTGTTACAGCACACGAATACCGCTAGTATTCAGCTTGGTTATCCACGAACAGTGAATCACCGCACTGTTCGTGGAGCAAGCAAAGTACCGAATGGGAGACCACCCCCAGCAGGTTGTGTGTCTCCAATTGGGTACTTTGCAAAATTGTATCCGTGCTAATTAATGTATGTTGCGGGTGGCCGCCGTTCGTGTACCGAACACATGGTGGCGGCCATCTTTGTTCTCGGAGAGCCAGTGGGGTTTTGTCGTCGATTGCCTGGAACTAAATTCGGCTACTCGGCAACACAAGCCCCGCTGGACTTCCAAGCCGTTCGGGAGTTTTATTCTTTCGGGAATCTCATTTCCTGAGTTAATACAACCGTTTTAAACCAAGTGGTCCTGGTCATGTAAAATGAACGGCATTCGGTTCTTTGTGCTGGGATCTGAGCGCAAGTTCCCTCAATCGTGCGCTCAGGTCCCAGCTATGTAATAAGGGGTTTATTAACTGCATAGCAGGAATATTATGTCAGTTATGGATTTTGATGTAAAAACTATTTTTCTGTAACAAGAGATAATTCCATTAACAATGCATTCTGGGGTAATTATCTCATTGGTACAGCAATGTATGATGGGTAAATTGGCTGTAAACTCAGTCCCCCATGTAGTCCCCTACTAGACAAACCCTGTAATACGATGTTACCACATCAATACTGTGACCTGTGATTAAAACCTCAGTTGGCCTCCAAGCTATGTGTCGTCTAGTTCTTGGGAGAAAGGGATTGTAACTACGCTACCTGGATTTTGTCTACTTTGTACCTGCTTTATTCTGTCGGCCAGCGGAGATACCGTGGATAATACTACTACTCCGCTACAGCTTGTATGTAGTATTGGCTTTTAAATGCAGTTGTGCTTTTGTGTATTGAGTTAGTGTTTGTAAATAGTTTTAGTGTTTTAATAAAGGGGTGTGTTTGTATGTAATGTTTGTAATTGCATGCAGGGGTGTGTTTGTATGTAATGATTGTGCTGCAGCGGTGTGTTTGATTGCCTGGATGTATGCACATACATACTAACACAGATAAACATACCAGGGCCGGACTGGGAAAAAAATTAGGCCCGGGCATTTTTCAATTAGAGCGGCCCCCCAAGAAGGGGACGGGGCCAGAGAGGGTGTGTTTTGTCATCACTAGTGACAAGTACACCCCCTCTGAAAGTGAGCATGTTGGTTCAATGCGCAGTGTCCCGCTGAAGAGCTCTAGCATTAGAAAAAGGCCCTGTATTTGTTCTGCGCAGCGCAAGCAAATGTAATAACATGCTTGCGCTGTGTTTGCTTTTAAATTGTCTCTGGTGTCTCCACAAGTGGGATACCAGAGGACAAAAGGGCCAGGAAAGTGTATGGTGCATGTGTTTGGCTCATGCTTGTGGGATTGCCTGTGTGTAGAGTGTACTGTGGTATTGTGTAAATAGGTCAATTTCGGGGTGTAATATGTGTGGCTAGGGGCTGTAGAGAGTGCGTGTATAGGGGCATAGTGTTTTAGGGGATGTAGCGAGTGTGTGCATACGGGCAGTAGTGTGTGTGTATAGGTGACGTAGTGTGTGTAGGGGTTGTAGAGAGGGTGTGTTTAGAGAATGTTGTATGTGTTTGCTTACAAGGAATGTAGTGTGTGTGTGTGTAGGTGGTGCACTGTGTGTGTGTAAGAGATCTAGTGTGTAAAGGACCCAGAGTGTGTAAAGAAGATTGTGTGTGTGTGTGTGTGTGTGTGTGTAGAGGATTAAGAGTGCATATAGGGTAAGGGATCTAGCGTGTATCTGGAGCATAATGTGTGTAGTGGTGCAGTGTGAGGGGCGCTGTAGTGTGTGTGTGTGTGTATATATATATATATATATAATATATTTGGACGTATTGTATGTG